AAAGACCAAGTCAAGTAGGTAGAGAACAATGACTACTGACACGCGAGGACCTTTACGTTCATGAATGTGAGGACCGAACGAAGCCTGGCGATAAAAATGCATCGATCTAAAATGACAGTTTATAGACGGCTTGATAACCTCACTGGATACAACTTGAAAATGCTGCGATATTTCATGTCAGTAGTTTGCACAAGGGTGAGAAGAGGATCGGATAATGAGTGAGTAAAAGATTAATCAAATGCTGTATAGATGCGAATATCATAAGGTTAAAACATCTATTTTAAAACATCTCGAATCTAGTACCAAAGCAAAAGAGAAAAGTAACATAGTTGACCCAGAATAAGATGTGACTAAGAATGCAGTGGATGGAAGAACACGTTGAACAGAACGAAAAATGTGAAAGAGTGACTTTCGGTGATGAATGATGTTCGACCTGGATAGCCTGATATTTTACTCGTATAAAGGAAGGAAGGAAGCTGAGGCTTTCAGTACGCGCTTTAATTGTAGTGGATCACCACTGGCAGGAGTACATTTTTCCTAGCGGAAAGTTTTAGTTGGCAGTCTTGGTAGCAACACAAACAGTAGAATTATGTTAATTTTTTTCTTTAAGGGCATGATAGTAATACTACTTTAATCAGACAAGGATTCTATGTACACCGTCAACTAGAAAAATTAGTTGCCTCTTCGTAATTGTCGAACACTGAAATATTCACATTATGACCGCGAATTAAGTTTAATTGACTCGTAAGTGAGGAAGAACCAGTTTTTGACATTGTTGCGCAGCTGAAGACAGTAAACGTGAATGAGTGAGAAATATTTAAGATGAAGTTTTTGGGAAGCTTGACGAAAAACATACTAAGAAGCAAAACGTGATCAACTGAGAACCGTATATGCCATTTCGAAGCTATTCGCATTTTCATAAAGTATCTGTAGGTTTTCTTAAGTGCCAAATCAGATGTGTAGAAAATCGAAAAGAACGAGTAGAAATAATAACCCACCTTAAGATGTATAAGACATTGATGGTGGAACGCTTTCAAACTTTTACGATGTTAACGTGTAACGACTCTGCTTCCCAGCCACGAACACTAGGCAGATGGGAGCTCGGAAGACACCTTGGTTCAAGGCTAACTTTGCTGCGTGCCCCGTGTCCTCCCAGGTAGAAAAACCATCAAGTGGAACGAGTGCGTCTCTTTCCCGATGATAATCGGTTCAGTAAGAGCACCGAAAACATTTCTGCAACCAAATCAATCATGTTAAATCGTCTCTAGTTGTTGCACATCATTAGTTCCTCTTTCTTTGGGAGATACAGTAAGTTGGAAGTGCCTAAACCCGTTGGAAAATGCCGTTTCCCTAGGTTGGACAAAACGGGGTTTGGGAACTCTGGCGGTGTCGAGAGGCACGATCAACGGAATGCGATCTATTTTTGGCGGTCTTTTGGTGAATCTGCGACTCACCCATGCAAATGAAACAGTCCCCGCAGGTACTCATGATTCAACGACCAAAAGGCGGTCTGAATCTAAATGCAATACCGCGAAATAAATCTAGTTTGGCGGGTCAGATCTGGCTGCGTAAAGACTGGAAGAGTACATTCAAATAAAAAACAGCGCTATTGTGGACGCCAAGCCCGGAATCGAAAACGCTCGAAGAGCGATTTCACAAACATAAAGGCAGTGGCACTAAACAAAATTTGGTCTTGCAACTAAAAGTCGGGTTTATTACGATGGTAGAAGGTGAATGCGTATTAAAGAAATAGACAAACTTGAGGTTTTGAGCAAACGGCACCTAAGACCCATTCTCGAAGTCCGCTGTCACGAAGAATTTTTCGACGACGCGCGACGTTGGTGTCAAAACATCCAACGAATCGAATTACTCGTTCTACAGAGCCGTTTCCGGCGGTCTGGCCACGCACTGTGCCAAACGGACGACGAGCAATGCTGAGTTACGCTCCACAATTCCTCCCAGTGATAAGCGGAGACGGACAGCTGAAAACCTGGCTAGGAACCATCAAGTCTAACAAGAACATGGGATTTGAAACTGTCGACGGAATTTGACACTGGAACAAAAATCGGCTCGTTCTCGTAAGGCCTGTCGGCTACAGTTCGAGATGTTCCTGAAACCGACTGGTCTTTCCACATTAGATTGCCGAAATAAAGTATTGGAATGAAAAAAAAGTATTTTGAAAGCTGATGAAAAGCATGCGAATCCAGACGAACAATCTCTACCCACTATAATTTATCCTGCAACAAGCAAACGGTTGTGTTCGATTACCGCTGAAAGTCAAAATCAAATAAAACAATGCAAATCCAAAGTTCTGACCTGGCATTAACTTGTCCTTCAGAATATTTGTTGTGAAAACAGGACCCGAGAGCTTCCAAAACGGCACGACTTGCGAAATTTTCGGAGGCTATGAGTTCTAAGCCGCGTACTTGCCGCCGCTTTTCCGCTTCACACAAGGCGAATAATTCCGGATCAGCAGTAGCCAATTCCATCACCAACACACTAATAGAACGAGAGAAACGACGGAGTGCAAAATCAACTCGACAGAAAACCTTATCAGAATTTACGTTAAACGTAGATGGTAGCCAAGATAAACACTGGTGTATATAAAACAAAATACCCTATGGTAAAATTACGCGGTATTACAGCCCATCAATAACGAAATACCTTAGCACCTCTTCAAATATATATACATCTATTTATATATATGCACATTTCACGCATTTGAGGCCATACTGTGCCACACAAATAACAGTACTATGGTCTTTGCGAAACAATGCCCCATGATTGGCTGGTGGGCTCTGTACTGCTAGGTTGCCCAGGCCAAGGTAGGTGAATTTTCTGGGGGAGTTAACAACCGAAGCCTTCGGCTAACCAAAGCCTGGACCGCAAGGTACCGGGTACTGGTATGTAAAAACTATAATCCATTCCGGCCAGTGTCCAGTTAATCGCATTGTATGCTCTTTGAACAGTGTCAAACGTCTAAGGTACCTAACATACTTCGATACCCTAATAAGGCTGGTGATCACTACCAGAGCCAGGAAGTTGGGTGTGGTTTGTACGCCTGTTCTTGATTGATTTGGAAGTATAGTTTAGTCAGCTCCTATCGATAAATTGTCAGTGGTTCACCAACGGTAACTGTGCGAAAATCACGCAATCCGAAAATCAACTAAAGACGGAATATTTACATCTAACTTCATTGTACTAATTCGCCTTACGCCAGCCCCCGAGGGGACATTTTCTATTCGGACAAGGAGTCGGCAATCTACTCTCCCTTTTAAATAACACACCAAGCGTCTCAAAAAGCCTATGCTGAGG